GGGCCCCCTGCCTGTCTTTGCATAGGGCCCCACATTTCCTAAATCTGCCCCTGATTGGAGGATATTTTTTTTCCAGGTGGATCATCTAAATCAGTGGTCCTCCTAACTGTCAATCATTCTGGTGAGTTGCATGGTTTGTTTTCAAATGGTTTGCTGCTGTCTGTTTGGACCTTTCTGAACATGTGCAGCAAATGGACTGATCCAATATGGACTGATCCAATATGGTGGACACTGAAGGGGGGGGCTGAGACACACTTAATATTATCAGCTTTTTATCAGGATTTTTATCAAAAACATCATTAATGTTCACTAATAAGGATTAGTTGTATTAACCATACATGGAAACAGAGTTTTATGGGGTCCCCAGGAACTTGGGGCCCTAGGCAACTGTATTGCCTAATGGTAAACCCCCCCTCATCAATGACCAATGCTGTTTTGAGGTTTTGAACATCTATAGATGTTTTCCATGAGGAAAGATGTTGGACTTTCAGAGTTTCTCCAGAACAATCATCTCCGGCTGCATCATGGATGGCCGCTGCAGCGACGCCAGCAGCTGCAGGATCCAGTCCCGCTAACGGCTGCTTGTCTCTTCTGTCTCAGGCTGAAGGAGATCGATATGAGCGAGTACGACGCTTCTACCTATGAGCGCTTCTCTAACGCGGTGAGGAGGCAGGTTCAGTCGCTGCGGATTATCCTGGACAGCCTGCAGGTCAGTGTCCCCGTTCTTTATGCTCGCCTCTGCTTCCCTTCTGTTGAATAACTTTTCATCTTCCAGCTCTAATCTCTTTTCCTGCAGTTGGTATCACAAAGAAATGCGGTTATTCTTTAGAGCAGACTCTTTGATCCTGCTGTTTCAGAGTTCTTTGTTGCCTCCAGCGGCCTGCCGATGACCATCGATGACCTAAAAACCTGCTCAGAATGCAGGAGGACGCCACCTTTGACGTGACTCAGCGAGCGGAAGGAGTGAAAACGATTCAGTTTCATGGCTTTGAGTTGAAGTTTCAGAGCAGCAGCTCTGCTCTGAGCGGCTGTTTGTTCATGTGACGCGTGGAAAACATGCTGCAGTGATTAAAGAGCAGAGGCGTCATGGTTTGTCTCCTCTCCAGGTGTGGCGCTCCGTGTGCGTGAGCTCGGCCCCTCATCCAGGTGTTTGCAGCATCGGGAATCTAGCTTATTGTTTCTGTGTCCCTTCAGCCGGGGGCTTTTCTCTCACTGTAAAAATGATGATGATGATGATGATGATGATGATGATTACATTGAGGCCAGCAGACAGGACGCCATGAGGTCATCTAAGGAGGGATTTAGGGACTCCCCCTAACACACACACACCTGCTGTTTAAAGCTGGAAAACGTTCATGTTGGTGAAGATTCTCAGTCATCCAGGTCTTAGTCATTCCAATCCACTGGACTTTGTTTCTAAGTCTGAAGACGTTTCTCTTCCATCCAGGAAGCTTTTTCAATCCAAA